CCACCAGTCCCAGAACCACTGGCTATCTCCTCTCCAACGCCACAAATACCATCACCAATCATTGACCCTCTGGTTATCTTCTCTCCACCGCCAGCAATACCATCACCAGTCACTGAACCTCTCAACCTTCATCCTCCATTACTATATCTCTACCAACTTGAGGCCTTGTCCGACCCCACTACCTTGTCGGTACAGAACTCTCATCCTATGATTACCCGTGGGAAATCTGGCATTATTAAACCCAAAATATGGGCTACCACAACTGCCCGAGATTGGTCACTAACTAAACCAACGTTGGTCTCTAATGCCTTCAAACGCCTTAGTGGAAGACAATGATGGATGCTGAGCTTTCAAAGTTGATCTGCAACAATACTTGGACCTTGGTTCCATCCTACACAGCTCACAATATTGTTAGTTGCAAGTGGGATTTTTGAATCAAGTGAAACTTCGATGGATCCATTGAACGCTACAAAGCCCGTCTTATCGCCAAAGACTTCCACCAACATCCTGGTTGTTGACTATTTTGAAACCTTCAGCCCAGTTGTTAAGGCGTCCACCATCCGTATTATTCTATTTCTGGTTGTTTCTTCTGGGTGGCAACTTAGGCAACTTGATTTTAATAATGCCTTTCTAAATGGCCCTTTCAAGGAAGATGTTTACATGGCTCAACCACCAGGCTTTGATCATTCTACGTTTCCTCGTCACATCTGCAAACTCAATAAGACAATATATGACTTCAAACAGGTACCTCGGGCATGGAATGATGAATTAAAGTATGTGTTGTTATCCTACGGTTTTCAATACTCCAAATATGATGCCTCTCTCTACTACCTACGGTCAAGCTCCATGATTATTCTTCTTCTAATCTATGTTGATGACGTTATTCTCACAGGAAATGACATCACATTCATTGATAAGTTCATTCACATGTTGGATAGTCAATTTGCCCTTAAAGATCTCGGTCGATTGAGCTACTTCCTTGGCATTCAAATTGATTACTTGTCTATGGGTCTCTTACTTATTCAAGCAAAATATATTGACGATCTACTCTCCAAACTAAACATGCGACATCTCAAGTTGTGCCCTTCTCCGGCTGTCACTGGCACCCAACTCTCCCTTAGTGACGGGCAACTGATGGCCGACCATTTTCTCTATCTTAGCACTGTTGGTGCATTGCAATACTTGACACACACCCGGCTAGACATTTCTTACATCGTGAACAAGCTCAACCAGTTTTTAAAGGTCTCGACTGATGTTCATTGGCATGCTGTCAAACGTGTTCTTCGATATCTTAAGGGTAGTCCTACCCTCGGTCTGCTTATTCAGCCCAGTGACCGTTTCACTTTTATAGCTTACGCGGATGTTGACTGGGCTACCAGCATTGATGATCGCAAGTCTATTGCTATATATTATGTTTTCCTTGGTGATTCGTTGATATCCTGGTCCTCAAAGAAGTAGAATGCTATTGCTCGGTCCAACACTGAGTCCGAATATCGAGCTATGGCCCATGCTTCAACTGAAATCACTTGGGTTCGACAACTTCTTCAAGAGATTCACTTCCCTCTTTCCACTATACCGGTTCTTTGGTGTGATAATCTTGGAGCTGGTGCCTTAACCTCTAACCCAATGTTTCATGCGCGCACCAAACACATTAAGATTGACGTTCATTATGTCTGTGACCAGGTCCTTAATAACCATCTTGATGTTCGGTATATTCCCTCTGTCGATCAGGTCGCCGACTGCCTCACCAAAGCTCTTGCCCACTCTCAGTTTGCGTATATGCGTTTCAAACTCGGGCTATTTTTCCCACCCTCTCGTTTGCGGGGATGTTACGAAGTGCAAGTCAGAAAACCAACAACTAACTCCATGATCTTTTCAACGTCAAGTTATATGGTTAATATTTGTGTAACTAATGTAATACAAAATCTCTCATTAGTTTTGTTTTCTAAATCTAGTTCTCTCACCCCTCTATAAAAAGATGAGAGCTTATAATGTTGAAACACACAGAAATCAAATAAAAAACTCATTCTTGAGTTACTTTTATTTTGTGTTAATTATTTTCTTAATTGAAGGATTGGAAGAGTTTCCTTCAAATGTAAGATCAAATCTTATTTAATGTTTAATATAATTTTGTTCATATAATATTCTTTTGATTGACTATATTTTGTTCGAAGAGAAAAACTTGCAAACTATCAATAGGGTCAATTGAGAACATTGTTGCCATCAGCACAATGTTTGAAGGGGAGACACAATGTATGATTCATGGAGTTCTATTGGGCACTGATAATGTAAGGGGAGACACAATGTACGATTCATGGAGTTCTATTGGGCACTGATAACGTTAGGGTCATTGTTGATGTCATTATTGGAAAAGAAGATGTTTGTATTCCTATTCCAATCAAGAGTGCAATTGAGACTCGTCACCAAAAAATATTCTTTTATTGCGTGGCCTCCTAAACTAGTGACAATCACGAAAGATGATGAGGTATGCTTTTTTTTCTTTACTTAAATGTGGCTGTAATTTTCATATAAATTGTTTTTATGTCTTAATTACATCCCATTGTATCAATGATATGCGTCTAAATCGAAAGCAAAAAATATTTTGCATTCATATCTTGATCATATAAATGTTCCTTTTTTAATAAAATTTTTGTATTGCCTTGTCCAACGCACTATGAAAGATGATTATATTCAGGTCACCATTAATGTTGAAGTATTTGGTGAATGCAAGGAATTCCTTGCTTTAGAGAAGATATTATGTAGTTTTGTGGATATGGTAGAGATATTAGGCCTATGGATAATAGTGTAGATTGCGTAAGTGATTTTATATTATTCTAAATATAATGTATGTAGTAATTATATTATTTGGTATCTATACTAAAAGTCTATGTCTTAATATTTATGAAACATTTTTTAGGATAACATTACGCGCGACATATTTAAGACAATGGACCCATCTGAAGTTGCGCAACAAGGTTATTCCTCAGTAGACGAATGTTCAAAAAATTTAGCTAACGTTTTCGCTTTATGACAAACATGTCAAAAATATTGATACCTTACACAAGAAATAATATTTTTAAAACTTTGTGGTCACATAATTTATTTAAAAATTTTCATAATATTATTCTGATGTTAACTTTTTTTTTTTAATAGGAGTCATTACATTATGTGTCGTTTACGTGCATAACAATATAGTTTACGTTTTAGACTCTTTGCGCACTCTGCTATTAAGGAAGACATTAAATATGTTATGAATGCRTAAGTGTTATCTAAATTTTTAGTTTATTGCATTAATATGTAAGATTGATGACTTATTAATTTATTTTGTTTTCAAGATTTTTATAACGTATTTAGAGCACTAAGAATGTTTATAGCATATAATAATGTTACACAAGGTCGGAAGAATCCTACCTTAGATTCTTGTATGGGTAGGTACATGCACTATATTGCATTATGTTATTATTTTCTAATAAGTTCTAAAGCTTATCATTTTTATATATGTATAGTGCCCACGTCAACCATGATTAGTAGCAGTTTTGGAAATTGAATTTAGTAAATTATTTGTGTTTAGTAATATATTTATAAAGGAGTGGTAATTACATTTAGTTCGACCTAAAGTATTATTAATTAATATATAACAATTTATTTATAAAATCTCTAAAATTATTATTTTACAATATTATATAATTTATAATATATTATATTTTACACGTTTTAATTTTTTCGTGGTTTAATTTTAACAAATTGATTTATAACATATATTTATAACTTTTTTTAATCTTTTTTTAATGGAATTTAAAGTTTCAAATTGAAAATCTAAAAATTATTTTCACAATTTTATATTACGGAAATTCACTAAATTTATTTGATTAAGTGAATAGAATAATAATAGGGATTGGGAAAATTGAGGTTTCTAACCCATTCTATAATCCATTTGGATTTTTACTCCTCCCATCCTAATTTGTTAACCTTTTCCATTTTTTGTCTTTATAAAATTACCAAAATATCATTATTTTCTTTAAGTATAATTCTCCACCATTTTGATTCCCTCCACCAATCTATCAATTTAAAACTCACAAATATATATTTTTTAATTTGAATCTAATATGTAAAATATATCAATATTTTAATTTAAGAATCAATTACCATCTGAGAACCCATTCTAGTGGATTATTAGCGTTCATACACAAAAAATAATAATAATAACAAAAAAAAAATTGCATGATCCAAGAATAAATGCGCTGATATTAAAGAAAAAAACTGGAACTGCGTGTATCCCGGATCAGGATTGTATAATTCGGACCGGGATAACATTATGGTCCTGAATGTTCTATCCTGGTCCGAGATACTGCTATTGCAGTTCGGGATCCACACCACTTCATTTTTTTCTGAATTTATTGTTGGCCCTCTTTTCAATTAAATATTGGACATTTAATGCAATATTGACCTAAGATTTATGAAGTCTTGATTTTCGTTGTAAATTTTCCCTATTAAACGATTAACTATTTAATATTCTATTATGTGATCTCAACTTTTTTTAAATAGATTTTTTTGGTATTAGATTCAAATTAAAAGTTAGATTTTTTAGATTTATAATTAATTATTCAAATTAAAAAGTTGAGATTTTTTTTGGTACTAGATTCAAATTGAAGAAATTTGTGAAGGGATTGGTAGGGGAATAAAGATTGGGAAGAAATTTGCCTTCTTTTTTCTAATAATGAAGCCAATCAAAAAAATAAAAAATAGATAAAAAAAATAGAAGAGAGGAGTCATGGAATAATAGATCTTAGAAAGGGGGTCAAAAGTCTAAATTATGAAAAGGGACAAAAGTCCCAATTTCCTAGAAATTGCATACCAAACGGACCCTAAAGGTCGAATTATATTTGCAAGGGTTGGAATGTCATTTCTCTCTCAACTCCCAAATTATGGGCCATTTCCGCAAAAACGAAAGGAGAAAACTTCAACTACATTCCCTAATTTCAAATTGTTGCATCTTATTTATGTCATATAGTGCGAAGAAGCCGAAATTTTCTCTCCGCGCCCCTACCCAATGAAGCGGGGAAATGATTTCTCTATGAGCTCCATCCGCCGATTCCGCCCCGCGTTCTACGTCTATGCGGCTGCGTTTCTGAGCGCCGCAGCTCTTGTTTTCGCCATTAAAGATGGTAAGCTCAACAATCTTAGCCTCTCATCATGGACAGTTCAAGCAAGTTCTTCGGAGAGGCTGCGCCTAGTTCCTGGATTGCAAAATCTTGGGAACAATTGCTTTTTTAATGTGATTTTACAGGTACTATTACTTTTAGCTAATGGGTTTCCTTTTCTTGCTGGGATTCTAATTGGGTATATGAGAAATCTTTACAATTTATCTCTGTAGCTTGCTTCCACAGAGGAGAGTTGAAACTGTACTCATTTACTCCTAAATCTGGAAATTTCCGCAGGCTTTAGCTAGCTGTGTGTTTTTTCAACCTTTTCTTCAAAAGCTTGTGGAGGATTTTGAAGTTCACGAGGGAATGAGTGAAACCTTACCACTTACGGTTTCTTTGGCTGCAATATTAGAAGGTATTGTCCAGAACTTTTGCATTTCATTTGAGATTTGTCTAGGCATCGAGACTTCATACTCTTAGGCTGCTCAATTTGACATTTGTTGAAGCAATTCAACGATTTGAGGCTTTAAGCAAAACAAATCTGGGACATAAATTTTGTTCTTTTTATTGTTTTATCATCTTTGGATATATTGTCTAAAATTTCATCAATCTCACTATGTTTGCAGCTTGCTATTGTAACAAATTTATGAGATTTTTCTTTCTTTCTTTCTAATATTGAATTAATTTGTCTAATGTATTTTATAAGCCTTTTCATAACTAATTCAAGTTTACCTATAGAGCCTCAAAATTTAACGGAAATGGGTCTTCTTTGACCATGGGTCTTAGACGATCATTTCACTTCTATACCTTAAGTTGGCTTCGTCTGCTGCCCGAGTTTCAAGGTATTGTTAAGAATTGATATTTTGGGAATTCATTGATGCCATGTCTATCTTTGAGGAGCTCTTGTATTTCCAGATAATTGTTTGAAGTATTCTTAAAGATTAGAGTTACGATTGACCTATCTTTCAATGATTGATTTTGTGACCCAAAGTTATATTTTTTTAATAAAATTTTGAGAAGTTTTATTGTTCTTGTCTTCTGATTATATAACGTAAATCATTTCAACAGAGCTAAGTTCAATTTATTTGGAAAGAGTTGTGTTGAGCCCACGGAAAGTAATGCTTGCGATGGCTTATTATACTCCAAATTTCAGTCTAACAAGCCAGCAGGTGTGGGAGTTATATCTTTTTAATTGTTTTCAAAGTTCATCTATGCGTTTCATGTCATATTGTGTTGCCGTTTTGTAGGATGCAGCAGAAGCATTCCTTCATCTTCTGTCTTCATTAAAAGAAGAGATTTCAGATTATAATCATCTACATCAGTGTTCTTTAGTCGATGTATTTGCATCTAATGGTAGGATTATTACTTCTAGAAGTAAGGGCGACAATGAACTTGAAAGATGGCAGTCTCACTTCCTTGGGCCGTTTGACGGTGTTCTTGGTAGCATCTTAACTTGTCAAAGTTGTACTTCTCAGGTTTGTTCTAACTTCATAACTATAAATTTTAGGCTCTGGTAGGTTATAGTTTTCGTCATTATGCTTTACTTGCACTCCAGAAACTATTGTTTGACTCCCTTGGCTCTAAATTTACAAGTGATGAAATTTTATATATGTCATTGGAATTGTAACACTATAAAGTTGGGAAACTCAACTCATGGTGAATTTTGTCATTACTTTCTATGTTTTCAATTTAGTTCGTCTCTCTATATTTTTTATTCCGTCATTTCATTTATTTGCTCATTAACTGGCTGTTTTTCCTTTTGTAGATCTCCCTGAGTTTTGAATCCTGCCACAATCTGCCTCTTTCACCAGTGCTTAAGGGTGATTCTACTATTGTATGTTTGTTGTCCATTTTTCTCTTCAATATTTCGAACCCATAACTTCAATATCATGCCCATAATTCTATATAACATGGGTACAAAATGTTTTCCCTGTACTTATAGGCATTTTCAAATGCAATAGTAGGTTGCTGGCTGTAGGTTGGTGGATTGCTTAAAGCAGTTCTTTGCTACTGAAAAGGTTGAGAATTATCGTTGCAGCTATTGTTGGCATAATGCTGCTGTGAAATATCTGTCCGCAGTGGGAGCATCTGAAGTAATTCTTTTACCTGGAATTCTATTTCTATTTCTAGTTCATGGGATTTTACCCTTTTTCCCCTGTTTTCCGTCATTCCGTTTTTCGCTGTTTGTTACCTTGTTATTTCTTTTCCATTGTCTTTACTCTTTACTTCCAAACTGCTGCAGACTCCCTTTTAAACAGTAGCCTCCTCATTTTGTAGTTTATGTGAGTAATGCAATGTATTAAAATGTTTTTGATGCTAACGTCTCGACTCTTGAGGGTCACCTCGAGGCAATGCTGTAACTTTTAGCCTAGAAACTCATGACTCTCATAGAAGATGCTTATATCTCCATGAAAATGCACCAAGGCTTAAAGTTTTTACATCTTTGTGTAATGATTAGAGGAATAATATTAATTTGTCCCATTATTAAAAAAATATAGAGGTTTCTTTAATTATAACAGGCTAATATATGAGTTGTGATAATTCAATCTATTACTACTTCTGCTCCCGAGACTTTAAAATATTGAATAAGTCAATCCTATTAGTGATAATAATAGGGATGGTAAAGATGTTCTTTTAGAATTTTTATCGAAGTGACAATCGACATGGGTGAATTTTTTGTACTCTTTATGTTGAAAAATACATCATCATACAAATTTAGGAAAGTTAAAATTGAGGCATCCTACGCCTTGCCTCTTCGAGAGGAAAAGCCTCGAGGCCATCTTTAGCCTTTTAAAACGTTAACAATTACTAATTGGTGTATTATGCTTTTGAAATTTTTTAGATGGAGATTGAAGAACTTATGAAATGCGATGGGCAAGATTCTTGTGGCTGCCACAGACTTCTTCATTTACATAAAGTTCCATGGTCAAATAAGTTTTCATGCACTCTAAAACAACTCAGTATTGCTCACTGCCCAAAGGTATGCTTTCCAAACCTATAATATGAGGTTGAGGGGGTCACTGTCACTGTAAGGATGTGAGAGTCTATCATGAGAGTGGGCCCTAGGATATATACTCTCGCGTAGAGCGGGGAGGGCTGTCTGTTCGGCTGTTTCATTAAAGACAAGTTGGGAATGAAACAGAAGTTGGGAGAGAGCAGGTAGCTCTCACGACCTTATTTGAACAGAATCTGTTCTACAGTTGTACAACTGTGTCCTTGAGTTCTAGAGAGTAGGTAGCTCTCGAATTCTCTCTTGGCCTCTTGTAAATGCCTCAAATCGTTAGTTGGGTGTAAAATTGTTATTAAAGTGATGTGGCTGTTCAAGAACAAATTGATGGTTTCAAGACATCTTCCTTTGTTATTTTGTGTCTTTCTTTTAGGTAAATTAGAAATTTAGTCCTTGAAATTTACGAATGTGTCAATTTAGTCTCAAAACTTTAAAAGGTTTAAGTTTGAACTTTAAATATTTTCAATTATATTTTTTAATTTTTAATTTTATTATGGTAAGTTTCCACTATTAACACCATTAATTAGATATTAGTGTGGCATATTGATGAGACTAATAAGTGATGATTTAGCACAACCATATATAAAGGAGCGTACAGTTGGATGAAATAAGGATTGGATGAAATAAGGATTGGATGAAATAAGGATGGGCGTGCCAAAAATTTCGATGAGACATGTTGGCGGAATACATTTTAAACCAAATTTATTGGTCTACCTGCTTTATTTTATTCATTTCTCCTACTTTATTGTACCACCTATTGCCACGTAATGTCAAATCATCTCTCGGAAGTCCAAAAAATGTGCCATGTTAACATGTGAATAATGATGTTAATGGCAGCAATTTATTAGAATAAAAGTTAGAACCTTTTGAAGTTCAGTAACTAAATTTGTCATTTAACCATTTTTTTTTACCCATCACAAATTGTACTCATCCAATATTTATCTCATTTGTAGATTCTATGCATCCATATGAAACGTGTTTCAATGAACGTGTTTGGTGACTTGCTCAAACTTCAGGTATAAATTTTTACATGAGTAACTTTTGATCCCTTTTGATAACCATTTTAAGTTTTTTATTTTTAATAATTATGTTGGTTAGTTCACAATTTTCTTAGTATGTTTTTACCTTTCTTAAAAACACATTCGCATTCTTAGCCAAATTTTAAAAATAAAAACAATTTTTTAATACTATTATTTCTTTCTTAGCTTACAATTTTGGCTTAGATTTTGAAGACGTTTTAAAAAAGTAGGTAGTAAAATAAAGAAAGACATGGGTGGAAGTAGTATTTACAGGTTTAATTTTAAAAAACAAAAAGTAAAAGACAAAATGGTTATCAAAATGGTCTAAATTAACAAAAAAACAAATAAGTTGTAGCTGGTAGAATAATTTTATTATTGTTTCTGAATTACCAAACACTCATTTCCTTCCTTGGCTTTTCTGGTGAGAGCTCCATAATGAAATGTGGTGTGAATACTACACAGTTGTTTCTTTTTGTCTCTATGAAAATGATCCAATCTTTCAATAATTTTTCACAATCTTTGTTCCTCAGGGCCATATCTCATTCCCCCTGAGTTTGGACGTGTCTCCGTTCATGCTGACGGGAGTCGAAATAAAAGATTTAGAAGGACAACTTGGAGGACAACATTCATCGAATAAAAAACCGAGCCATGGTCTWGATTTCTTCAGAATGCAGTTCGATCCTAGAATGCTAAAGTACATAAATGGGATAACAGGCGAGGACAGCTACCGCACGAATCTAACCTTAGGCGAATCCATTTGCTCGGAACAAGTAGGAATTTCTACTGAAGAAACCAGTACTTCTCAAACTGGAGGCGGCTTGGAAACCTTGCTTAACATGAACTTGCAACCCAGTTCCCCGGTATGTCTAAAGTTTCGATTCTTTTCCCAGCATGAATTGTTGAAATCCGATTCGAGTTTGCAATTGGCTTGGTTCACTCTTGAACCTCTGTGATATCCCCTTTGTAATTGTCTCTGAATGGTCATGGTCTATTCTGAATCACCCTTGTATGGTGCTTGTCATACAGGAGAGTAGGACGTGCCAAATAGCACCTTCAGAAACTTGTTTGTACCGACTCGTTTCAGTCGTCGAGCACTTTGGTAGACCCGGGGGCGGGCATTACACTGTTTACAGAAGGGTTCAAGGTCACCCGCTCGGGCAAGATCTCAACGGGCATTTGCAGGCTGTCTCTACAGAGTGGTTTCGTGTATCAGATTCTGAAGTCCACATTGTTTCTGAAGAAGAAGTTCTTGCGGCTGAGGCTACCTTGGTTTTCTATGAAAAAATCTAGAATCCCGAGTGCAAAAAGGGTTTGATGTAGTTGCAATAAGGTTGTTTTTTTTCGTCGAGATTGGGGGAAGCGCATCTGTTTCAGGTACAGAGGCGACAAGGGGTGCTAACCTGGCCACCCATTCCATTTCGAGTCCCGAAACATGCATTCTTGTAATTGTAGCTTCATAATAGTTGATCAGTTGCAGCAAGGGATCTGCAAATCGAAGAGCCCGACAGAATTGAAGATGATCATAGAATTAGACAATAAATACTTAGATTTTAAAAGAGTTTCACAGAGGTTTTGGAGATCTTATAACTCCATCATGATAAAGTTTTGTTGAGTAGTGTATCAGTTTATTATTGCAACAACTGTTTTTGTCATTCCAAATTACCCAACAACATATTACCTAAATCCAACCCTTGAAGCTTTAATGTAGTGTTCAATTTTGTAGAGAATTTTGAGGTTCAAATGGCATTTCTATACTATATCATTGTCGTGTCGTTACTAGTTGACTGAATTTTCGATGTTTATGTATAACTTAAGCAGTTAAGATATTATATTCTCGACCAAAAGATCAGAGGATTAAATCATGTCTACGTATTGTTGAACTAAAAAAAAAGCATGTTTCTTGTCATTGTTCCTTACCCATTTGCCTTGGACGATAGAACTAATAGGAATATGTTGGATAATCTCGACAGCTTATACACGGTTCCCTTTAGACACTCAATATTCCATAAACGAGTAGGATTATTGATATCAATCACACATTGGGATAAGATAGTCTTGAGAGTAGATTTTCTAAAGGTCACTTTGGTAACGTTATTATTTCTTTTACATAAACATTTGATGACGGTTCCGGTTACTTGTTTCTGATTTTTAAGAAATGAAATTTTGGAAACAACAAAATCAAATTTTAGGTTTTTTATTCTCAATTTTCAGTTTTTTTTTTCCAAAACAAATAAAAGCATAATTTTGTCGTTCTTGACTAATAAAATACATTATAAATATTAAAAAAGTAAATATATCATAAAACAACTAAATATTTAATTTAAAAAATTAATTTTCATATAACTTAAGTAGGACATTCTTACACTCCGTTTGGCACTGGGAATCGGTAGGAAATGATTTCGAATTCTATGATTTTAAATGATGGAAATGATTTCAAATTCTTAATTGTATTTGAAAATAAAAGGATTCTAAACCATTGAAATTAAAATTTTTTGTTTGGATCTTCACTAGAAATGAAAAGAAAGTATAACATTTTACTATTATGCCCTTAATATTTTGTAGAGTATTATATTATTAATAATATAATATTTTAATATAAACTAGTAATTTTAATCATGTAAAACATAAATAATTTAATGAAATCAATCTAACAAAAATTAAAACTTGTAAACGTCACATTTATTTTAAAAACTAAACTAAAAAAAAATTGCAAATGTCTGATTCAAATATTAAAAATAAAAATTTAAAATCAAACAATTTCAATTTATTTGCAGTTATGTGTGTTTTTTTATAACATAGTTATTTCATGATATGTACTACTGAAAAATAAAAGCAAAAGAATAAAATAATAAAAATATATATAAAAAAAAACATAAACCTATAAGATCTTAACAATATTGAAATATAAGAAAAGTTAAATACACCAAAAACATCAACATTAGTTTATTTGGAAGGTGCGAAAAAAAACAATGGAATGAGAGCCAGTTTATATTTATTAGAATTATAAAAAAAAAAAAAGTTATGACATTGCTTGAGGATGTACAAAATAAATGAGGTTATAGTGATAAGTATTTTTTTCCACCAAATAGGACAGAATCGGAATTCGTTACGTTTAAACTTAAAATCCTCCCAAATCCGATCTATTTGAAGCGAAAAATATTTTAACCAAAAAACAGAATTTGAAATTTTTAATTTTTTGATTTGACCAAAATAGATATTAACCAAAATAGATATTTTTTGATTCATTATTAATTTAAGGTTGGATATATTTGTATGATGTTGGATTTAATTTTAACGGTATGGTCGAGTTATATATAATTAATATTTTTTTTGTTTCTCATGTCCCATAGTGCATACAGATTATGTTTATTTAATTGGGACCTTATGCATATGTGTGTGATCACGAACATATTTTTCGTGAAAAAGATAGTGTTAATTATGTACCCTCCCTTGATCGATGGGTGCAACCTTGCACTATTGATAGGGTACGACTATCCTTCAGTTGGGTGTTGGATCTCGTGCTAAACTCGAATAGTGTGTGACAATTATATGTTTATGAAATCACGAAAGTAGTTTGATGGATGCGACCTTACACTACTTAGTGAGTACTACCACTATCACCAATTGGGATTGAATCTCGTTCTAAATTCACGTTGGTACAACAGTGAGTGACAATCAAGAAAAGGAAAAAAGAGCGATTTGAGGTTAATTAGATATAGTTTTAGACCATATTATTTGAATTAGATTTATTGACTATTTATTTGAATTATGATTTGAGATTAATTATATTTTATTATTATAAATATAATGTTATTAGGTCTATATCTAAATTGAATTTAATGAAATTTTAATTGTTTATGTATTATCTCTATTTCTTCTCCTCTTTGAAAATTAACAAGGAGAAATGAACTTAATTAATCTAATTCAAATTAATTTAAAACCTAATTGAAACTCATACTCATGGTATGAGTTGGATTGCTTGATTTTTTTTTTTGATAGTCAATTTTTCTTGAACACCCATAAATACAGATAGGGCAAGAGTTTTTGTGGAAATTATGTTGATTTATGTTGATGCCGATTTATAGGTGTAGGTGCCGATTGGGTGCCACTTATGTTTTTGTCTTTGTTAGTTTGATTCCTACACATAGTTTGATTGATGCTCTATCAAATGATTCTGATGCTTAACTCAGAACTCAAGAAACGACAAATAAGAATGTGTGCCAAATCCTCACAATAAGTTTTGTAGAGAAATGCAGCTTACCTTTGTTAGGGTCGTCACTCTGTTTATATATCAGATAGAGAGGGAGTGAACGAGAGGTCTCCACTCCCTTGGACATTCATAGGGGAGTGGTATGTTGCGCCAAAGGCTATACGGGTACCACCGACAGTGTAGGTGAGGGCCTTGGCAGCATTCTGCGTGGTCCCTAGTGGTGCTTGAAAGGAAAAAGACGAGGGTGAGAAAGCCGTATAAAATAGATAAATATTGGAAATAATCCTTAGGATGCAACTTAATTACATAGAAAATTAATTTTTAAAGTAGGTGGTCGTAATGAAATTTGAAATTATTCACTCTCAATTTACCCTAACCTCTTTGGACAATTGAGCCATATTGAATCACTTGTTTTCAAATCTATTTTTACATCACCAATTAACGTCACTATACACTTTCCGAATAACTAACTGATGAATAATAAAAATGATAGGGAGAGGATATCATTTAGGACATGACTTAGTAAATTTTAGAAAAATATAGTTCAAGTCTTTCTTAATTAATTGGTATCCTCTTGTTTTTGTTCTCAACATTGGATCTTTTTCAGTTTTTGAGGTTGGAAAAGAATGTTGACATAAGGGAGAGGGGAGAGGAAAAAGTAGATAATATATATATATAGATCTACATTCATTGAAGTGTGAAATTAAAGATTAATTTAATAGTCCATTCAAATGCATAATTTAAGACGATAAGATACATTTAAAATGTTGATAGTTCAATTGTGGCTACCTCCTAGATATTGAATTAAGAAAAGAGACTGTTGTTTTTTTTAGTAAAAGAAAAGAAGAATTGCATGACCTAACACTCCTTGATTTAACATTGATAAAACAATATTTTTATTTATATTTTGGAACAAATTGGAAATGTGAATAATAAACAACAAATTTGTTTTTGTTATTATCAAATATTTTATATAATTTTAGGATTTTTTCTAAAAAATAAACAAAAAAACATAAATAGATGCCAAATATTTAGACTTTTTAATGAAATTGAAAACAAGAACAAAAAAAATGTGAACATTACCAAACGACGCTTAATATACTCGGTTGGTAACCAATATGTGGTGTTGTATTGTGGCAATTTATTAGAGAACTGCAAATGTGATGTTATTATTCATTAAAGGAATACCATAAAATGATACGAATCAAGAGAGATACACTTATAATTTAGTTTCACCAAACTCAGCGTAGTTCAATTGGTTAAGATACTTAATTATCTTTGACTAAAGAGTCCTAGATTCAAATTTTCGCTCCTACATATTGTATTAAATTAAAAATAAATATAATTATTTTTAGTATTTGTTTGTTTGTTTTTTAATAGGGTTTATTTGCTTACCTCTAGGGTTCAGCGAGTGGTTCCATTTATAGGAGTCTTGCCTTCTGGAACCTTCTCGTTGAACCCATCTATCTGTCGTCATTGGATCATAGGAATTCATGGACCGGATACCTCTCCCAATGGGAAAGGAAAGAAAGTGGGGCTCGGCCAAGGCCAACTGGCCGAGCCTTGGTCGGTGTCGAGTTGGGGTTGGGATCAAGCCCCCGCTCGCTCGATCTGTCGTTGGGTTTAGGCCTCTCTAGTCTGTAGAGATGCATTTCCTTGGTCAGATCCAATCCCATAACAATGATTAATATTACTTTTATTATTATTGATATTTGTGACTAGCTTTGAGTGTTCTTATGAATATTATTTTTTTATTAATATTTGTTACTAGCATTGAGTGTTCTTATGATTGGAAGACAATTTTTTGAAAATATTTGGTTCTTCTAATTGTGTTAGATACTTTTAATTAGTTGCATTTCAACTTGAGCATTTTAATTTGCTTGATTATATTATATAGTTAGATTCTCAGTATTGTGTCATGATTAGGTTTAGACATTCTTTGTAATATAATTTTGAGTGCTTTGTAAGTTGATTTTTGTATGATTTTTTTGGTTGTTCATGAAAAATTTATAATTTAGTTTTGAGAGGCGTTAATTACAATAAATAAATAAATAAATAAATAAATAAATAAATATATATATATATATATATATATATATATATATTAAAGGTTAAAGTTTAATCGGATGAAACCTAAAAACGAGTAATCTCACTTTTCTACTAAAACTTCATCAATCACATTTCTTTCATTATT